CCCAGACTGGAGTGCAGCGGCCACTCCCGGCCATTGCAGCCTCAACCTGCTGGGCTCCAGCAATCCTTCAGCCTCAGCCTTCCAAGTAGCTGGAATTACAGGCGCGCGCTAACCACGCCCAGCTAATTTTTTGATTTATTGTAGAGACGAGCCTGGGGAACTTGGTGAGAACTCATCTCTACTGTAAGTCAAAAAATTAGCCAGGTGTGGTGGCACACACATGTAGTTCCAGCCACTTGAAAGTCTGAGGGGAAGGATTGTCTGAGCCCACCAGGTCAAAGTTGCGGTGGCTGTGAGCGTGCCACTGCACTCCAGCCTGGGTGACAGAGTGACTCCAACTAAAAAATAATAATAATAAAATAAAATAAAATGTCATCTTGTGCTGGGTGCAGTGGCTCACGCTTGTAATTCCAGCACCTTGGGAGGCAGAGGCGAGAGGATTGCCTGAGTCCAGGGATTCATGACCAGCCTGGGCAATTTGGCCTCTACAATAAACAAAAAAAATTACCCAGAAATGGAGGTGCGTGCCTGTAATTCCAGCTACTTGGAAGGCTGAGGTAGAAGGATCACCTGAGCCCAGCAGGTTGAGACTGTGGTGACTGTGAGTGTGTCACTGCACTCAAGCCTGGGTGACAGTGAGAATCTGGCTCAATAAAAAAATGTCAAAGCTGGACTCAGTGGCTCAGCCTGTAATCCCACGCTTTGGGAGGCCAGCGCTGAGGTGAGTTGATTGCCTGAGCCCGCAGGTTCAAGACCCGTCTGGACAATTTGGCAAGACCTCATCTCTACAATAAAATTAAAAATTAGCCGGGCGTGGTAGAACATGCCTGTAGTTCCAGCTACTTGGAAGTCTGGGGCAGAAGGACTACCGGAGCTCAGCAGGTCGAGGCTGCGGTAGCCAGGAGTGTGCCACTGCACTCCAGTCTGGGTGACAGAGTGAGACTCCAATTCAGAAAAAAAAAAAAACAACGAGTAAATGGAGAGACGTGCTCGTGTTAAGTAGCTAAAAGACACTCTTGGTGCTTACTTAATGCACTACTTACCAGCTCTTTGATCTTCTTCATTTTCACAGGATTATTCAACACCTCTCGCTTTTTCTCCTCCTCCTTCTTCCTAAAGAGGAAATTATAAAAATCCTGACTATTTCTTTTGGAAAGGGGATTAGGTCATTCTACTCTCCAAATTGTATGTAGTAACCTTTTCTCTAAACACATGCAGACAGATGCTATGCTGAAATCCACTGATGGGTGGAAGCCAGAAATCTCCCTGAAATCTCTTAGGAGAGATTTAATATCATAGGGAAAGCCCACACTGGTGCACTAATGTGCAAGACAATGAGTTTGGTCTGTTTCTTTCTTTCTTTCTTTCTTTCTTTTTTTTTTTTGAGTTGGAATCTCACTCTGTCACCCAGGCTGGAGTGCAGTGGCACATTCACGGCCACCCCAGTATCAACCCACTGGGCTCTAGTGATCCTTCCACTTCGGCCTTCCAAGTAGCTGGAACTACAGGTACGTCTACTGTACCCAGCTAATTTTTTACTTACTGTAGAGATGAGGTCTCACCAAGTTGCCCAGGCTGGTCTCAAACCTGTACGCTCAGGCAATCCACTTGCCTCAGCCTCCCAAAGTGCTTGGATTACAAGCTGAGTTGGCCCTTTTTTTTTTTTTGAGTCGGGGGTCTCACTCTGTTACCTAGGTTTGAGTGCAGTGACGCAATCCTGCTTCAGCCTTCCAAGTCACTGCGACTACAAGTGTGCACCATCAAGCCTGCCTAATTTGGAGGACAATTGGCAAAACTAATCAGAGTCTTCATATACTCTTTGATCTCACAAATTCTATTTTAAGAATTTGAGGCTGGGACGGGCATTGGTGGCTCTCACCTATAATCCTAGCACTTTGGGAGGCTGAAGTGAAAGGACTGCCTGAGCCCACGGGTTTGAGATCAGCCTGGACAACTTGGCGAGAACTCATCTCTACAATAAATCAAAAAATTAGGCCAGGCACGGTGGCTCAAGCCTGTAATCCCAGCACTTTGGGAGGCCAAGGTGAGAGGA